ATTTCTAGCGCTGGTTCCCGCTATGGATTCATGAGGCTGGGGCGCCACCTCGTGGCGGGAGTCCTCCAGTGAGCCAGCGCCGAGGTGAGGGTCTGAGAGGGTCCCGCCTCCTCAAGCCTTGGAAGCCGGGGGAGGAGAAAACGACCTCCAGGCTTGTTGGGAGGCGTGAAGCCAAGAACAAGCTGCGCACCCGTGTCCACCATGGGTTGGCTTAAAGCAAGAAGACCTGAAAGCTCCGGGCTTCCATTGACTTCAATCATTCACTCATCCGTTCATTCACTGGGCACGACTGGCTCCTTCTCATCTTCAGGACCTGCCCCCATCGCCTCCCCCATCGCCTCCCCTGGTGAACGCTCTCCTTGCCTCCTGGACGGCTTTATTTTTCTTTGTAGCTTATCAACTCTGTCAACGTTATACTTCTCAAACCATTAAAACTTAATTCTCTTAAAACTGAGAGTGAGCACATGCCCACATCTTATTTCATTCACTGAGGGCTGTGCAGGATGACCAAGCCGGTGCAAAAGAGAACACAAAAAATGGGGACTTTTATAGTAAGTGGGAAAGATGATGAGATGAAATCGCCATATTAGGCAAATTTGGTTAACGTCCTACAGGGCAAAAGACTTTGTACCCCGTGGGGTTATCTTCCTACTGGACAGAAAAGAAAATCTGCAGTTGACAGACTTGTATGACGCTCGTGCCCCGATCCGCCGTGTGCCGGGATACGCTCTCACAGACGCTCCAGAGCACGGCCATCTTTTCTCCTTACTTCTGGTTACTGGATGGTTGTTCGGTACACAACCGGACATAGGGTGTGGATGTATGAATGCTTATTGTCTGTTGCCGTGTCTAGTGATGGGGACGCAGGTTTAATTAACCAAGTTCTAGTTAATTAAGGCTTTGCTACATGCGGCAGCTCAAGAATAGTTAGATTTTCATCGCTACAAGTCTGCCGCTTAAAATCACCAAGTCGTTTCCATGGGAAAACAATTCAAGACCCACTTGGACCAGGCATCTATCTATCAACTGATAGATATTTCCCGTGGCCTTTAATCACTGATGGTGACGGTGTTTCTTCCTCCACTTCCTCCATCCTTTCCATTCATTCCATCAGTATTTTCCTGTTGTCACAGAAATCACACCCTTGAATGCCAGAGGGTCTGACAAGAATGAGTGCCCGTGTGGGGACAGGGATCGGGCTGCCCCGAGAGTCCAGGGCATCTTTCATCCCCAAACCCCCAGCCTGAGGGGCTGACCCCGCCCACTAACTTCCAGAGCAGATGGCCCTTTGTGGTTCTCACAGAGGCTACAATCCACAAACCCTCAGGTGGACTCCTCAGTCTGTTGGGAGAGGGACCATAACATCACCTAACAGTCCATGGATGTGAGCAGCACTGGCTGGCCGCCCCAGCGTTGCTGGGCGTCACTGACCACTGTTGGAAGAGCAAGTCCCTGCTGGCCCCCACTTCGGGGCACCGTACTGAGTTGCCATGTGAGATGCGGCACAGTCGGGAAGGTCGCCCTGGTTCCAGCTGGGATCCAGGGTTCCCAGCAAACCAGGCAGACATGACACCCCACTTCCATCCTCCCTCTGTACCGAAGAGCTTGGACGCCGAGGTCGTCTCGCCAGGTGCACGTCTCCTCCTACAGGCAGCCCACCGTACGTCTTGCTGGAGGCGGGACTCAGCCTGTGGAGGATGACTTGCCTATTCCTCTGAGGGCCTCCAAAGTGACCTTCGTGGATAACACGGAGCCTGGAATCTAAGGTGGCCTGTTCAACACGACTTCTCAAATTTGCTCTTCGCCCAGCTATTGCTGCAGGACGGGGTAACAAATGGGATCCATTTTCTTTATAGAGATGGGTAGACATCGCTCCTAATGATTTGTCTAGCACGTGACAGTGACAATCAACCTCATACATCACACAGGCCACCAAGCACAAGTTGAAAAGGCCCAACGACTGAAAGCCTGTATTAGGACACCTGCAATCTATCGAAAACGCCCCTGGTACACCTTACACGGATTGTCTAATATAATCTCCATGATAACTCTGTGAAGAGAGGAGTCACCTTACAGATGAGCAAACTGAGGCTCAGAGAGGACAAGTCACTTGTCCAAGGTCATCTGACGGGTCTGTGGCAGAGCCAGGATGTGAACACAACACCAGAGCGTGTGCTCCTAACCAGAAACAACACGCACGGCCTCGGTCTTCACAGTGGTCCCTGGACCAGCAGCGCCCGCACCAGCTGGGGCGTCATTCCACCGCAGCTTCGAGCCCCGCCCGAGGAACTGAGCCAGGACCGGCACTTTGGCAAGACCCCCGCTGGTTTCCCTGCACGGTAATTTGAGAAGTGCTGGAGGCCACAGTGTCACGTGTTGGTTTTGCCAAATCTGCCCTGTGCAGGCGTCAGCAACCAAGTCCCTCCTTGGGCCACGTATTTCTCTGAAAACGTTACACTGTGTCAAAAAAAAAAAAAAAAAAAAAAAAGAGTCCAACGGCCCAGGTTAACGCCCCAGCAGAACATCGCGATGGTTTGATGATTCTGAAATACGGCTGCCGAACGAGCACTCACAGAGGCTCCAGCTAAGCCGTAAAACACGGTGAGAGGGGCGTGTTCCAACTCTGAGAAGTGGAACTCTGACGATGTTGTGAGTTATGGGGATCAAGATTAATCTCCGGCTCCACGGAGAGGAAGCCATCAGGCCGAGTGGTTTAGACACAAAAACACTCTCCCTCAAGTGCCAGGTGAAAGCCGGGATGGCTCTACTGCTGGGTGCCAATGCCACTTACGGGCTCGTCCCCGGGAGCGCTGGGAAAGTGTGACCGTCAGCGCCGACATATCGCCAGCTGGGGGCTCTGTCCCTGGGGTTCTGCCTGAACTCATTGTTAACATAACCTGTCGTGATCTGCAACTCCGCTCCACCACCCAAGTCCATCAGGGCCGGTTTTTGGGTAGGAAGCTTGGAAAATGGTAATAGCCCAAAGGCTATGCTTCTCAAACTACTGTAGACACAGATCACCTGGGGTCTTGTCAAAATGCAGATTCTGACTCAGGTCTGGGCTGAGGCTGCTTTTTTTAGTGGGGGGGCGGTGAGGAAGATTGGCCCTGAGCTAAGATCTGTGCCAATCTTCCCCTATTTTGTATGTGCGATGCCACCACAGCATGGGTTGATGAGTGGCGTGTAGGTCTGCTTCTGGGACCCGAACCCACAAACCCCAGCCCTCCGAAGTGGAGCATTGAACTTAACCACTATGCCACTGGGCCGGCCCCAAGCTGCTGCATTTCTAACAAGTTCCCAGGTGAAGCCACCACCTTAGCCACTGGTCCGGGCACCACCCTGTGGGAACGTGGGAAGAGCATGGGCCTGCCCAGGCAAGACACGTGTGAGCTCCAAGCCTAACTCTGCCACTTGGCAGCTGTGTGACGTTGGGCAAGTTGCTTAAACTCTCTGAACTTCAGATTTCTCATACATAAAATGGGGATATTTCCACCTTTTAGGGTCTTTGTAAGATTTAGAGATAACATGTACATTTTCTTCCCACTCCCAGAGGGGAGGAGGGGGACTCATTCCCCTGCATTGCCTTCACTACAGGTTCAGCTGAGACTCATTTTTCTTTCCTAAAGTAGTTAGTTCTTTTCCAAGTCAGGGTTTCTTAATCTTGGAACTACTGACATGTGGAGCTGGGTCATTCTATGTTGTGGGGGGTTGGCCTGTGCATTATAGGATGTTTAGCAGCATCCCTGACAGTAGCACCCATCTCCCTGAGTTGTGACAATCAAAAATGGCTCCAAACATTGCCAAATGCCCTGGTGGCAAACTGCCCACAAGTGGGAAACAGCATTCTAGCAATAATTCACATCAACGGTTCATTCAACATACGTGTTGAGCACCTACTTTGGGCCAGACTGTATGCCAGGAATATATTAAGTCAAACAAGGTCCCTGACATGGAGATTTCCTTTTGGAGCCTCAGTCTTCTCAACTGTTAAGTGGGTAGAACCAGGCTGTTGCCCTCCTAGAGTCGTTTGGGAAGACGAAATGAGTTAAACTTGCAAACGCCTTGGCTCTGGTGCCTGGATTAAGTCAAAGGACTGGGGATCCGATGGGCCTGGAACTCTGGCCTGGTGCTTGGGGAGACGTGAGCGTTGGCAGGGACAGCTGCACTGGAGGAGATCTTGGCTGGGAGGGGCCATGGCAGGCCCTGGAGGAAAGTGTGCAGGGGCAGCAAGATGGAGCCCAGACTGGAAAGGAGAGAGGAGGAGGGACAGACAGTGGGAGAGGGGCGTAGAGTGACAAGGTGAAGGGGGAGGGTGACAGGGAAAGGTGGATAGGAGGAGTACAGACAGAGGCAAGACGGAGAGGGGGACGGAGGGGAGCAGCGGAACCAGCCCGGCACAGAAGGGACACGCCCACAGGGCAGAACACTGCATGGACGCTGGGACAGCCACACAGGACCCAAAAGAGTGGCTCTTATGTTTGTTCCAAGCACACCTGATTTGGGTTATAAAGGGTTAAAACAGAAACTGGAGGCCACTTGCCAGGCTAGCTCAGTCCAGGAGCCAGCCTCTGCCTCATCCTCCCAAGGGCCCCACCAAGGGGCAGGGTCAGAGCACACACAGCCTGGAAGGGGATGAGGCTTCTGTGCCTCGTGTTGAGTGGCGTTAGTACAGCAATTGTGGCGATGGTATTAAAAGCATCTGTAAGCAGTTAATACAGGGGACCATAAAAGACCCCTGCCCCCAGGGGAACTGCATGGTTACAGTGATCGACTGGAGGGGAATCAAGTTGAGGACAGTTGCCCAACTGGACCAAGCAGCTCCCGAGCATTCTGGAACACATATTCCCAGCTGGCAGCTTGGCAAACACCTACGACTAAATGGACTCCCAGCCCAGATCAGCATGGCTGGGAGGCAGCGACGGACTCCAGGAAGCCGCCCGGGGTCATACAAAGGGCACCCGCCATGTTTCTAAAAGGATAAGATCTCAAGCACACTGCTGTGCGGGCTTCTGGTTTTATTAGGAAGCTCTTACAGGAACAGTCTGAAGCCGTGCTTGCGGACGCGACGGGTCACGTTACTGGCTCCACAAGGACCTTCCAGAGCTCCTGCAGCAAACAGAGAAAGGAAGAGTCCCAAGGTAGGCAGATGAGCCTGTCACAATCCCGTGGGGAAGTGACTGCGAGAGCACAAACACCACACGAACACAGGCGGCGCGAGCTTCTTCTGACGTCTCTGTCGCTCTGCGCTGTGCCCTCTGCTTGACTGCAGGAGAGAAGCTGAAGGGTCAGTCCTGGCATTAACCCAGGAGGCGCCAGGATGCCACATAATCAAAAGGGACCAGGAGAAGGACAGCAGGTAGCCACAACGCCTCCATCTGGGGAGGTCTCTAGTGCCGTGCGGTGTGGCTGATTTTCTGGGCCACGTGATGCTCCCCTCAGTGCTGGCAGGTGGGGCAGGTCTGGACCATGCCAAGTTCTCAGTGGGAAGCTCGTGTCCCCACTAGCACCAGGAGCCCGTCTGCTGGCTCCGGGAGGCTGCCCAGAGGCCGCGTGGCAAGAGGAGGCTCCTCACAGCGCATGGCGCACGGCACCCACATAGACGCAGCGCTGTGCTTGCTGGGGACAGGATTGGAGCGTGAGAGGGAGCCCCTGTCCCCATTCCTCCTCAGAACCAGCCTGGCTGCCACAGCCTCAGAGAGAGGGAGGCCGCAGCCAAAGGCGGAGAGAACAAGATGTTAATTCTCCACCTTTGCACTTCTAGGAAGCCAGCACCTGGAAACTTTCAGGGATTTTCAAGAGAAATTTTGACTTTCGAATTTTCCCCAAGTGCTGGGTTTGAAACGGTGAGAGGAAGCCTCGGGGCTGTGGGACCGCCCCAGCTCTGCGTCTCCTGCTGGCTGACCGGCCCTGACCCAGCATGAACCGAGACGGAGGACGAAGGAGCGCAGCGCAGCGCCTGGCACGGCATCCTTAGGGGAGAAGGCAGAGGCCGAGGTGGAGAGCTCCCACAGAGAGGGTCACAAGGGCCATGGGCCATGAGACAAGCCCGCCTAGTCCGAGGCCAGCGCCTTCTGGGAGCGAAGATGAGCCCGTAAGCACCAGGCCTGCATCGAGATCTCCACCGACCAGGCGCCCACCAGCCTCCTGCCTCCCATGGCCCTCCACCCACGGCCTGGCCTCCTGCCTCCCACGGCCCTCCGCCTGCGGCCTGGCCTCCTACCTCCCGTGGCCCTCTGCCCGTGGCCTGGCCTCCTGCTTCCCGTGGCCCTCCGTCCGTGGCCTGGCCTCCTGCCTCCCATGGCCCTCCGTCCGTGGCCTGGCCTCCTGCCTCCCGTGGCCCTCCATCCGTGGCCTGGCCTCCTGCCTCCCATGGCCCTCCGTCCGTGGCCTGGCCTCCTGCCTCCCATGGTCCTCCATCCGCAGCCTGGCCTCCTACCTCCCGCAGCCCTCCACCCACGGCCTGGCGTCCCCTGGAGTGGGCACTGCGGGGACAGAACGTGCTGGGAGGTGGCGGTGAGGTGCGCCCGCAGGCCCAGCGGGATGGAAGACTCCCGAGACGGGAGGCAGCCCACCATGGGCCCAGTAAAGCCACAGTGCTCTCCTTGCCAGCTGCTCCCTGCCCCGCGTCTGGGAGGCGTGGTGCCAGCCAGCCTCCTTCACCCCAGAGTTGGTGTCAGCTGGAGTGACAGTGGCCCCCACAAGTGCGGGGCCGCACCTACCAGCTGCTGGATGCGCTCATAGGCGAGGCACTGCGGGAAGGAGGCATCCACGGGCTCCACCACGAAACGCCGCCGGCCGTCGGCGAGCTTCTCCAGCTGGCGCAGCGCGGAGCGGAAGTGGTCATAGGCCTCGCAGGTGACGTCCAGGTCTCTCAGCGTGAAGTTCAGCCTGCAGACAAGCAGCCGACACACACCCTGGATTTGTGGTTCCGTCGCAGCCCGCCTTCCTGCTGCTCTGATCTCCCGTCACATCGGGGGACTTGAACTGCGTGCCTGCCGCGTGCTGAGCCCGAGGGCACTTCCTTCCTGAACGTGTGGGACCGAGCCTGGGGGTGGAAATGGTTACCACCTCCATTTTACAGATGTGGAAACTGAGGCTCAGGAAGGTGAAGTCATGGGCCCAAGATGACCCTACTCAAGACAGTCCCTGCCTCTGAGGAGCCACAAATTGGTGTGAGGGGGAGGCAGGCCAGCACCTGAGGCCTGTCCCCCACCCCGCACCCAGCACAGCGCTGGCGCCTGGGCTGCCCATTTACTCAACGAATGGACAAGGGCAGAGGGACGTGCAGAGGCTCTGAGAGCGCGGGGGGCAGAGAGCTGGGAAGCTGGCGGGGTCGGGGAGGGGGGCGACTTCAGAACCGGGTCCTCATGAGCATTCCCGGCCCGGCCACCTGCACCTTTCTGTCCCCTCATCTGGTGATTTAACACCAAATTCAAATGCTTTGCCTCTTTCCCTTTTCCTTACAAAATCTTTGACTGAGAGAGACTGCAAGCATATAAAAGGAGCGAGATCAGAGGGATGAACAGCCCAGCTTCAACCAGCGTCAGCTCACGGCCTGTCACCTCTGCCCTCCACCCTTCCCCCAACTGCCAAAAAGCACATGCCAGACATCACAGCATTTCCGCCGTGAACATGTCAGCGTCTATCTTGAAAAGACAAAGATTCTTCTGCCTAAAACAAATTTAACGATAACTGTTTAACATCAAATATCCAGTGTTCAACTTTTTTTGACTGTCTTGACTTTTTCCTTTACGGTCTAAAAAATCAGAATCCACGTGGAGTCCAACCAACCAAGTGAGGCTGCCCCTGGTCACGTGTGCCTTCCCGGGGTCCACGACGTCATCAGTACAAACAACAGATGTGCGCCCACGGACAGCTTTGTACACAGCCGTGACCGCTTCCACAGGGCAAATCTCGAGGTGGAACTGCCGGGTCAATAAGTATGTTTGGTTTCATGGCTTTTGCTACATATTCTTAATCGCCTTCAGGAGAGTCATGGGCTATCGTAAGAATTAGAGAAAACTGTGCACAGAGTGTCTAGCACCATGTCCATCACAAGATGGACACTCCGCCAACAGCAGCCCTAATGTCTCAGGCTATCCAGGCGGAAACACTGAGGGCTCTGTCTGCCTCTGGGAGGACAGGGACCCATGCAGCCGAGGAGACTGCCAGCATCCTGGAGGTACTGTTCAGAGTGGCCCTGACGGAGCACGGGGGCCCCCGCAGCTCGGCTCTGGGGCACGGCCTGGGGTGCACTCGAGACCTCGTCTCCGCACTGACCAGCTGAGGCCTGCACAGGCCCCTCATGCCGCTCGGCCTTCCCCTCTTCACCTGAAACACGGGGACGGCAGCGCCTACACAGAGGTGGGGCTGGGATGTGCATTAAATGAGACCCCGTGTGTAAGGGACCAGCACAGGCCTGGTACACAGCAGGTACTCAAAAAGCAGGTGACAATGATGACACTGATGGGGACACATTCAGAAGGTGGGAGCCTGGCTCTCGGGAAGGCGGCACGGCCCCAGCTGCAGAGCTCACCTCTTCTCCACCGACAGAATGGCTATGCAGGCATTTTTCAACTTGCGAGTGAGTCGGAAGAGTGTTTTAAAGAGAGCGTCTGTTAAGTCATCGTCGTAAAACACTGTGGGGAAGAAAACGGGCAAATGTCAGAGGAATCCCTTCCTCAAAGGACTCCACAGACACTAGAGGGAAATCCTTACAGATGCAGGACAGCGACAGTTCTTGGAATTAAAACTGCACAGAGATGTGGTGGAATGTCCTGGAAAGGCTGTTCTTTTTTGCTGAGGAGGATTTGCTCTGAGCTGATATATCTGCTGCCAATCTTCCTCTTTTCGTATGTGAGCCACCACCACAGCATGGCTGCTGACGGATGAGCTGTGTAGGTCTGCGCCCGGGAACCAAACCCAGGCTGCCGAAGTGGAATGCACCAAACTTAACCACCAGGCTCTGGAAAGACTGTTCTAAAATATGGAGAACTCCATGGAGCAGCAGGGACACTGCACCTGACTACCCATGATGGTGACACCGGCTGTGACAGTGACACCAGCTGTGACATGCAGGATGTTCTTACCTTCGGCTGCAAGCAGAATGGTGGTGTGGCTGTACAAGTCAGAGACGTCCTCTTCTGACCAGCTGAAGGGGACCTTGGGATCTGGGAAAGGAGAAGAAAGGATGCCTTGTGCTCACTCCTCTCTGCGGGCCACCGGCTCTAACCCAGAGACTGACCAAAGAAGCTCCAGGAGGGAGAACAGCTTGGGGAAGTTTAGCAGTGGCCACCAGGCAGACCTGAATCCCAGAGCCCAGCTTCAGGGCCCCGGCTGCCCCCATGGAGAACTGCGGTGAAAGTGGTGCCCACTCAGCCAGTGAGGGGCAGGCGCATGTTGGCTGACCTGCTGCCCTGGCCGGTAGCCTGTGCACAACGTGATCTGTACCTGCATGCACGGCACTCCTGCCCCCATTTGCTGTGCAACCCGGAGAAAGGTGCTGCACTTCTCGGGGTTTCAGTTTCACACTAGAATGAGTATAACTACACTCCCTCACAGGACTGTCGGGAGATCAAAGGACCTAATGTATGCTAAGGGCGCAGAAGGTGACAGGTGCTCTGAACAAGCAGTGATTTCCTCACCTGATGTCTAACAGGAGAAAGAAAAGCTTTCATACAGAGACAAGCACGCAGGTCTGAAACAGTCCGCGTAGGGAGTTTAGAAAACCCTCCCATCCAGGGCCTGAACCCACGTGGCCAACCCTGCTGCGGGAACAGGGCAGCGCGCCAAGCGGGAGGCAGCTTCCTGCAAACAGTTTACTGTGGTCTATGCCCTAGAGTCCCACAGATGTAGGTTCATACCCTGACCCTGCCAAGTACCAGCTGTGTGACCCTGGGCAGGCACTTAACCTCTCTGAGCATCAGTCTTCACTCCTAATTCATCGATTACTGCAACTACCATACAGTGATGCTCTGGGGTCCCACTAACAGAGTGAGCGGTAAGGAGCCAGGTACACGGCAGGTGTGCCCAGAGTGACAGCTGTCAGCCAGCGGCCATGGAGAGCACTTGCCGTGAGCTGGGGGCCGTGGGAGCAGCTGGGGCTCTGCTGGCCAGTCAAGGCCACAGGCCGATGGCCTCGAGCTATGACAAGGACCCAGCGAATGAGACGGGACAGGAGAGGAAGACGCACCTGTGCAGAGGTCGTCTTTCAGCCAGTCCAGTTCTTTGACCTTAACCACGCCGCCTGTAAAACACACAGAAGCCCCAAACTCTACAGACCACCAGGAGAAAGAGAAACGCTCACACTGCGCACCGAAATCCACCCCTCCCTCCTCCTTTTCACCTAGCCATCCTCCTAGCCCTCCCTCCCTCCACCCCTCCTCGCAGCCTCCTGCTGCCCACCCGCCCTCCTTCCTACCCATCCGTCTTCCCACTCACCCACAACCACCCCCGTCTCCTTTCCTTCTACCTGCCCAGCATTTCTTGAACGCTAAGCATCAGGTCCTATGCTGGGCAGGGGGAGTCAGATTTGAGACATGTCCCCGTCCCTGGGGAGCAGCAGCCTAGGCGAGCACGGACCAGGCAGTGTGCTCAGGGCAATGTTAAAGGGCCGTGCGAGGGGCACAGGAGGAGACAGGGGCTCTGGTGTCAGACAGGGGGTGTCAGGCAGGGCTTCAAAGAGACAGGGACTCACGCCTGCACCTTTGTGACTGCCTACTGTACACCGGGCTTTCAACAAACACTGTGACAGCGGGGTTGAACACAGACAGGGCCCTGCCCTCAGGAGTCCATGGCTGGCAGACACCAATCAACTAGCCACACAAACAAATGTCAAAATGTGATGGTTCAAGGTGTCATGAGAGTCTGTTAGGGGACTCTGATCTCATCTGGGGGTCTGGAGACCTGAGCACAATTAGGACCTGACAGGAGGAAGAGGGAGAGAACATTCCAGGCAGCGGGGGCAGCAAGTGCAAAGGCCCTGAGGGGAGGGAAGCCCAAGCAAGGCCAGGACAGCTGGAGAGGGGGCCTCTGTGGTGGAGGGGGCCGGGACTAGCAAAGGAGCTGGTGTGTTCTCAGAGAGCACCGGGAAATCTCCATGAAGGGGCCGAAGGCTGTGGCCTGGAGGGCGCTATTCTGAGTCTGGAAATGTGCCCTCAGCTGCTCGAGGAGGCAGGTCTGGCCAGGGGCGCAGTTAGGAGCCGGCTGCCGGCATTTGTCACGTGAGCTTATTCCCGCAGGCGGTGCAGGAACCTGAGGATCAGGCAGGCGGGCTGAGGGGTCACTCCAGGCAGAGGGAAGAGCATGTGAAACGAGTCCTCAGCTCGCTGGAAGCAGGGCTGGACAGTGGGGCTGTTGGGAGCAGACGCAGGAAAAGCAGGCCGGGGCCAGACCAGGGGGCTGGGGAGCCAGAGCGAGAGCTTGGACTTCACCCCAGAAAGGGTCAGGCTTGTGTCTTAGAAAGGTCCTCTGGACACGACGTGGAGGACAGCTTGGGCGGGTCAGACCAGGAGCTGGGGAGACAGGAAGGGGGCCACTGCCCACATCCAGAGGGAGAGCTGACATGAGACGCGGCGGTGGGTGTGGGAAGGAGGCGACCCAAGGACAGAGTCATCTACGACCTGAAGTTACGAGAAGCTCTGCAACGTCTGCTCCCTCCGCTCACCGTGTGTGAAGGAAGCGGGTGGAACCCTGCCCCCAGAGTCAGGGAGCTGGGCCCACCTGCCAAACAGAGCGCCCACCCACCCTCCTGGCCTCACCTCCAGCAGCGGTCAGGTGGCTGTTGAGGGCAATGTTCCGCTGGCACATGGTTAAGAGGTCTGCACCAACATCTGCAACGACAGGAGGGCGTGCGTCAGGCGCCAGCCGTGTTCCCTCGGGACATCTGAAAAGTGTGCCCAAGTCACCGGCGACCCCTAGCTTCCCCCTTCCGATCTCAGAAGCAAGAGACGACTGCCTTGAGATGCTCACTGGGAATCACCGAGATGCAAACCATATCGGCAGGTACCATTTTCCGACCAGTGGATGTTAAAGATTTAAAAAATCCCATACTACCGCCCCACTGATGAGATCGTGCTCTCTGATAAAGCTTTCTAAATGGCACGTTGGCAGGTCTGAAGGGCAGGTGAGAGCACTGCTCGTGTGTCCACGTGCTGGCTTCCATCAACCGTGGCTATGTAAGATGCCACCATTGGGGGGCTGGGCCAAGGAGACATGACACCTTCTGGAATATCTGAGCAACTTCTATGTCAGTCTAATATTACTTCAAAATAAAAAATTAAAAATGAAATCAGTTGGCAATATGTATCAAGAGCTTAAGGAAGTTCACACCCACTTTGAGGAATCAGAAAGGATGATCAGACAACGATGTACAACGCTGTTCTTTGCAGTGCAACCAACAAATGCAAAAAAAGAGACCCAAAAAATACGGGAACTAAAATCTCCAGCAAAAGAATGGTAAAAAAAAAAAAAAAAAAAGATGACATATTACATCATTAAAACTTGTATTTATGAATAATTATAATTTTTAATGAGATGAGAAAACGCTCTCTTTTTTTTGAGGAAGATTAGCCCCGAGCTAACATCCGCCACCAATCCTCCTCCTTTTGCTGAGGAAGACTGGCCCTGACCTAACATCTGTGCCCATCTTCCCCTGCCTTATATGTGGGACGCCTGCCACAGCATGGCTCGATAAGCGGTGCGTAGGTCCGTGCCTGCGATCCAAACAGGCGAACCTGGGGCTGCCAAAGCGGAGGGCACAAACTTAACCCTATGCCACTGGGCTGGCTGGAAAATGTTCTTAAAAAAATGTTTTTCTGGGGTCGGCCCTGTGGCCGAGCGGTTAAGTTCGCGCGCTCTGCTGAAGTGGTCTAGGGTTTCGCTGTTTTGGATCCTGGGCCTGGACATGGCACCGCTCATCAGGCCACGCTGAGGTGGTATCTCACATGCCACAACTAGAAGGACCCACAACTAAAAATACACAACTATGTACCGGGGGGCTTTGGAGAGAAAAAGGGTAAACAAAATGTTTAAAAAAAAATGTTTTTCAGTATTTTTGGCAGAATACAGCTCTGAATATATATAGTTTGATTTAAGCTATTATTTGGGAAAATGTACAAAGGACAAGGAAAAATATTGTAAAAAATATATATACAAACAGTTAAAATGCAGATGCTAGAATGTAAGCTCCCCGAGGACAGGGACTTAACTGTTCTGTTTCACTCCCTCCTCGGTCTCCCGCATCCAGAACCACGTCTGCCACACAGCGGGGGCTCAGTCAACTGCACACTGCTGCAGGAATCTGGGGACTGTCGAATTATGACTAGCTTTTATTTGCTGTTCTGCAAGTTTTCCACAGAGTAGGCAAGATTTTGATAATCAGGAGAAACTAATAAGCTTGCTGTCAGCCTCAAAAAAGGCCCATTCCTCCCAGCTTCCGGGACGTCTGCTCTGTCGTGGGGTGGGAGCAGAGGTACCCGCAGAGTGGCCGGCGCTTGTGATGCGAAGTGGTCCTGTGCCTGCTGGGTGATCCTGCAGTGGTGGACCGGGTTTGCTGGGTCATTCTGACATTACTGAGAAAACAAGGCAGAGGCGGAGAAAACCAGCGGAACAGCATGGCAAAGGCAACAGCAGCCGACGGCCAGCTTCCAGTTTCTCTCCCTCACTGTTTGAGAGTCAGAACCTGCTCTGTGCAGAGGCCACTTCTCAGCCTGAGACGGGTGTTACCTGTACAATACACGGTCTGTGCCACGGTGGCTGCAATGATGCTGGTGAGCCCCATGCCTGCCCCGAGCTCCAGCACAGTGCGTCCCTGGAAGAGGCCCCACTGGGACAGGATGTAGTCCGCCAGGAGCAGGGCGCCCCGCCACACCTGCAGGGGAGACAGGCAAGGAATGACAGGTGACGTGAGGCTCGGGAGGGACCCTTTGGGGCCACGGGAAGTGGACGGGACCTACCCACCTGCTTGCCAACATCCTCCAGTGGGGTGGCCATGGTGTGCTCTGGACAGGACAGAAACCAAAAGAGAAAGGGCCACTGTGAAAGAGGGGATGCACAGAAGACAGACACATGGGGCACAGCAATCTGCAGACACGGCGGCGGGGTGGGTGTTGGAGTCAGGTGTTCTAAAGGGCAGAAACCCAGGCTGCGCTAGCAGGTGTCTGCGTGTCACCACCAGACCAGGCACCGCGGCTCCCTCTCTTTCAGATGACCGGTTACCTCTGTCCCACAGCCCAAGGACTAGGGGCCTGAGAGGTCTTGGCTCAATAATCAAATACTCCACTTTTCTATGCTCAATAACTGCCTATTACAATTGTGATATATTTATGTTGTTTTGATCAATTGCTTGACAATAAATAATCACAACTCATTCTAAAATATTCTCTCATACTTAGAACCACCCTAGAAGTTAAAGTAAGTCTGAACTTTTACCCTTTTTTAGGTGAAGCATGATAAGTAAGTACGATAAGAAGTCTGCTCCAGCACAAGATATTTCAGGATCAGATGTGGTGGTGGGGGTGGTGGGTAGAAGTAGAAATAGGAGATTAAGGAGAAAAAGGAATGATGTCAAACATTTTTGCTTTTAAATAAGAACTGGCTTTCATGTTTGTAGGCAAGATGGTGATGGCTATCAACTCACACCCAACACAGGCACAGGAGGGCAGTTCTGCACGCTCATCGGAATCTCACAAGTCAAACCACACGCTCACAACACAGGAGCAGGGCCTGAGGAGCCGGCGGGGGAGGAGCCCAGCCCGGTGTGAGTAGTCGGGGAGGCCACAGCCCCCTCCGGGAGGGGCTGCCCTTGGAGGTCAGGGGGGCAGCCTGCACGCCCTTGTTTGTTTTCGGTCCCCAGGAGCTCTCAAGGTGGGAGCATGTCCGGTGCCAAGGGTGCCGCTGTGTGTAAAGATGGGTGCCACTCATACAACCAGGGTCTAGAACACGAGCCAACCGCTCTGCGTGGTCTCAACTAACGCAGCGGCCATCTGGCCCCAAGACAGGTGAGCAGCGGCTGAGTGCAGTCCTCCTGGGGACCGGGCAGCTGCCCTTCACACACGCCTGGAACCTGATCCCTGAATCAGAGGAGGCCAACGCATTGCTCCCCAGCGTCTTGGCTGGATTTGATGCTGTGGTTTGGAAGGAGTCACTGTAAGTAAAACATGCCCGTGTCTGAAGGCCTTCGGACTGCTAAAGCCCAACATGTATTCACTTGTTTGAAGCTGGAACAAAAACATGTCCACCGACCCACTGACATCCCCCGTGAACACTTCCTGACGGCACCTGCCCTGAGCCAGGCCTGCGCTGGGTGCCACTGAGACGTCACCACTTGACCCTCACAATAGCCCTGCAAGGCGGCTACCATCAGCCCGTTTTACAGAAGACGACACTGAGACAGGGCTGCAGCGGTCAAAGTGACGGGGAGGCGCACCCTCTCCAGGCCAGGCACCGTGCTCAACGCTTCACGAGCAGACCTCATTTACCCAAGGCCGCCCTAGGCCACAGGTTCCAGGGCCACCTTACAGACAGGAACATGAGTCGGGGTGGGGAGGGGGCCTTGTGACACAGGCTGCCTGGGGCCACAGAGCTGGCAAGTGGCAGACGTGGGAGTGCAAGTCAGGCTGTCTGCTGTGGGCCTGCTTCTCACCCGAGAGGGGAGAGCCTCCTCCCCAACGGGGGCAGAACCCCAAAGGCTGCACAGGGACACGGTTAACAAGGCAGAGGCTCCCAGAGCAAGGGGGCAGGGCCACCCGAGGCAGGCTGAAGGCTTGGCGGGGGAGGGGAAGAGGCCTCCTGGGGTCCTCGCTTCTACAGCCCTGCTCCGTGGGCCCCCGCGGATGCCCGGTCCCTCTTTCCCAGTCTTTGCAGCCCCACCACGCAGCATCCTGGGTGTGGCTCGTGCCCCTCACGTGGGCCTCGTCCGTCTTCCACCCTCTCCTTCCAGTCGGCCTGGCCCAGCCTCCCTGGTCTCTCACTCGCCAGCCCCAGGGACCTGCCCTCCCATGGGGATTTCGGTCACACTCGGCCAGTTTCTTCGAGGGGTTTCGTGGACATAAGTTTTGCCTCCCAGCTGTATTTAAGGTGGGGCTGCTTCCCCTGAGAAAGAACGTGGACGGAGGTCAGACAGGTTTTGCCATGGTCTAGCTCGGTGACTCAAGTGCCAGAGCCACATTTGCTCCTTTAGAAAATGCAGAAATAACATCACTGCCTCATTCGTGGGGCTCCTGCCCCAGTGGAAAGTCAGTTTGTACTTAAACAATGCCAGTGGCATCGGGAGATCGTGAAGCCTGGCCTGAGGAACTCCACCACGAGACTCTCAGATAGAACCCGATCTGCATCCTGCCGCCATCGGAGTCCAAAACCCCTGCTCTCATTTGCCAACAGTCTAGACCTGCGGGAAGCTAGACTCTTTCTCGGCAGGTCTCCCTTCTCCCCTCAGGTCACCCCCAGGAGCTAAAGCTGACGGTGGCTCACGTTCATTCAACACCTGCTCCGTGCCAGGCCCTGGGCTAAGAGCTGTGCCTGTGCCGTCTCCCTCAGCTCCTCATGGCCACAGGAAGCTGTTGCCATTTCAGACACGGAAACTAAGCTCTGAGAGGTTGAGCGGCTTGCCCAGTTCACAGGGCCAGTGCAAAAGGCCCACGACTGGGACTCCCGCAGCCTGAGTTCCAGCCCTGCCTCTTCTGAATTCCTTATCAATAAAATGGGGAAAATGATCACAATTTACTTTGAACCTTGGGTCTGTGGATTCCTTGCAGGTCCACAGATAAACTTTTTAGGTTTTTGTCAATCCTCTGAAATAGCTTAGAATACACAATCTCCTCCCTCCCAGGGAAGTTTTGGTTTTTTTGGTTTTATTTTTGCTGAGGAAGATTCACCCTGAGCTAACATCTGTGCCAATCTTCCTCTATGTTTTAGTATGTGGGCCGCCACTGGAGGCATGGCCACCAACAGAGGAGCATAGGTCCATGACTGGGAACCAAACTCAGGCTGCCAAAGCAAAGCTCACTAAACTTAACCACTAGGCCACTGGGGCTGGCCTGGGAAGTGTTTTTAAAATCAGTTTCTCAAATGGATCCATAACCTGAAAAAAGTGGCTTGGATTATCAATCGGGGGAAAAGGGCGGTCAGGAGAGTGACATTGTGTAGCATCTCCTCTCTGCCAGGCCCATACTAGGCACTATTATTAAACTATCCCCAAAACCCAGAGAAAGCAGTATTCCTGACCCTGTGTCACAGGTGCAAAAACTGAGGCTCTGGGTGGGCAAGACACTCGTCCAAGGTCACCTGGCTGGTGAGGGGTGGAGGTGGGTTCAAGACCCAGCTCTGCAGGACCCCAGAGTCCAAGACCCCATCCCCTACATCCCGTCCTACAGATGGAAGTATTATAGTGTGGATGGAATAACGAGGGGTCATCGCTTCAACTCAGACATTTAATTACCTTTCCCCGTCCTCCCTCAGGGCTGGTAGGACCTGCCGAGCGAGCTGGAAAGAAGGCGACCCTCCGGGCACTGTGGCGCGGGGCCTCTGGGTGAGCTCAGAGGAAAGGGAGGCAGGGAAGCCAGCCAGGCAGGAGCCCTTTCCCCTAAACTCTGTTCTCAGCTTTCAGGATGGTAAACTCCCAGAGCGTTAGACACACCCACACGGGAGGCCAAACCCTCGCTGTGGAATAACAAGTCAGCCACCCCCTCCTCGGGGTGGCTAGTGAAGTGAGGGCTGAGAAAGGCATCCCCATTGACCCCCTCAAGAAACAGTCCCTTCCTAGCCACTTCCAAACGTTCTGATCACGTGACGGGTAAAAACATGGGCTGTGGTGTCAGACAGACCCAGGCATGAGCTGTGGCTCTGCTGCTGACCAGCAGTGTGACCTCAGGCAAGTTCCTCAACCTCTCTGAGCCTCGGTTCCCTCCTCTGTGAAAAAGGAATGCTTATCCCTGGGGAGGACCAGAGGTGATCCATGGAAAACACGAATAAGGTTCTGGTGAGAATGCCACATTGCCCCCACTGCAGTGGCCGGAACAGAGCCTGCCTGGTGCCTGGTAGGGGTTCAGTAACGGCTGAATGGACGGACGCAGGTGTGGGTGGATATCAGACCTGCTGCTCTGTCTGTCTTTGAGAGTGCCCCAAGTGACCCCGTGTCCCCAGCCCTGGCCAGTGCTGGGGAGGCCTCTCTTTGGGCCCTCAGGCACCATCAGGGACCCTGGACCTCAATGAATGGACTTGAACCCGAGCTCCTCCCCCAGTGAGCAGTGCTGGGGGCGGCGAGAGTCCCGGCTGTGGAGACGGACCACGTGGACTGATTCAGAACCTCTCTCACCGACAACAAGCTGCACGGGCTTGGCCTGTCCCTTCCTCATCTGTACAGCCCCTCAGAGGGGGCTGTGAGGACCATACAAGGTGACGTAGGGACACTATCAAAACAGCAGGCGCCAAACCATTGCTGGCTCACTCCCTGCGCTGGCTCCCTCCTTCTCCTGGCATTTCTAGAGATTTGAAGCCCTGGAGTCGCCAAGCCCTCTGCCCGCCTCCACCCCTGCACGGCCGACACTGGATCCTGCTTCTGAGAGCCTGCTGAGGCCCCCTTCCTGCCCCCTTCCCACCTGGCCCCAGCCCCCAGGCCATCTGATGGGCCCACAGCACTCCTCCAGTGTAACTGTGGCTCTGTCTCCACGTGCCTCTGCCACGCTCCAGCTCCGGGAACTCCCATGGCCCCCTGCTGCCGGCCCAGGCTGGCTGAGTCTTCCACAAACCCTACCCCTGACCCACCCCCCCAGCACACTGGGTTGGATCAGGACATGGCTGCGGGAGGCAGAGACAGCAGGGCTTCCTGGAGGAGGCGAGGGCTGAGCTGGGACATGTGTGACAATGAGGGATGTGTTGAGGAAGCATAGGCTGTGGGCAGGTGGCCCAGGAAGGAGGCGGAGCACAAGCTGAGGCCCCGGGGAGGAGGTGGGGAAAGGCCTGAGGTCAGTAGTGAGAGCTAAGCCTGGAGAGGAAGGAATAGCCATGTCAGAGGGCCTGTGAGCCAGGCTGGGTCATCCATCCACACTGTACCCTGAGGACAATGGAGCCGCGAGGAGCCTTGAGCAGGAGGGTGCCCTGCCTGCGTTCTGGAAAGCTCCCCTGCTGGCAGCAGCACTACTGGCTCCTAGTGTCACCTGAGCTGGTCCTGATACCCGTCTTGTCCCATAACGCCCTGGCCCAGGCCCGAGCTAACGCACACACACACCGCCCTGGTCGGCACTGGGGAGCTGCCTCGGTGGCAGGCGAGCCAGACCTGTATTTACCTATTTTGATGACGTCGTGGGGGCTGCTTTCTTGAGCTTCGTCTCCCAGGAGGTCGTCTTCCTCCTGCGTGAGAATCACGGGATGTACCTTGTCTCTCAAAGGCCCCGCCGGCTCGAGGTCAGAGGCAGCCCGTGGTCTTCTCACGACGTCCAGATCGCCATCCTCGTCCAGCTGAGCTCCTGCCCCCTCACCACTGCGGCCAGACCCCGGAGGGGACCCCAGGCTGCCCGTCCCAGCAGGAGGAGTCTCCTCTGCGCGAACAGCTCTGAGACCGCCGGCCTCAACCCCTGAGTCTGCCCAAGAGTCCTGGTTCCACAGAAGCTTGAACCGGGACAGGAAAACTGAAAGGCAAGACAAAACAAAAGGAGAATATTTCCAAGCTGTCTGTTCTTTTCTTCTTCCTCTCCTTCTTTTGGAAAACTTGATTTCCAACTGGAAAGAGTTTCCAAGGCCAGGTGGAGATACGCTAACGTCGACAGAAAAGGCCTGTCTGCTTCAGCTGTGATGCTGGGGCCACCAAAGCAGCCACAGCCCCCACCGAGAGGACTGCACTGGATGAGCACCTACAGGGCGGGCACCAAGCCCACGCTGGCTCACCGAGTCCTCAGTCGCCATGAGGATGGCGGCATCGGCTCCATCTCACAGACGTGGGAACTGAGGCATGGAGCTTAAGTGAGCCGACCAAGGCCGCACGGCTTTGGCTGAGGCAAGTCTCAAATCCAGGCTACTCGAATCCTAAGCTGATGCCCTTCTCACCACACTGCTCCGCCTCTTAAGGTCTGGAGGACAGGACAGGACACGAAGTGTCCCTCACCATCTGGTGGCCAGAACGTCACTGGGACGAGTTTCAGGAAGAGTATGTGTGCCAGGAGAGGCGGGCCGGAGGCAGGGGTGCGAGGACTTGAGCAGAGAGTCCTGGGCTGGGGCCCTCCGTCTCCCCAGATCGCCTGACCGCAGGCAAGTCACTTATCTGTTCTGAGCCTCAGTTTCCTGAATCCAGGAATCCAAACTGGGACACGACGGAAAGGGGAATCACTGATCACACCAGGACGAGAAGCTAGTACAGGGTGACCAGAGCTGGGCAGGGTGGCCAGGGAGGAGCTGTCTGAGAGGACATTTGAGAAGCCAGGGCTGAGAGGGACAGACGTTCCGGGCAGAGAGAAGAGCAAGAGCGAAGGGGCTGAGGGAGGCAGGTGCGAGCAGCGTGTGAGGGACAGAAAGCGGCTGCAGAGCAGAGCGGGGGCGGGAGGTGTGGACACACAGCAGGGGCTGGGTTGGGCTGGGCCTTGCAGGCCAAGGTGAGGAGTCTGATTTTATTCTAAGGGCAAGGGGAAGCCACTGGAGGTTCTAAATCAGAGCAGTGACGTGATCTGCACTTTCAAAAGATCCCCTTGGCTGCTGGGGACATAAGTGTGGGGAGGGTGTGTAGGAGACAGACCAGGGAGCCCCGGGGGAAGGAGATGGAGGCAGCCAGGCAAGGTAAGAAGGTGGGAGGATGGGGCAGGGGCAGTGGGGATGGGGGGCAGTGGGCAGATGGAGCCCCAGGGCCCTGTCTCCCTACTGGACCATGGGCTCACTGAGGGCAGAGCTTGGCTCATTCACTTCTGCAGTCCCAGCATCAAGTCCTGAGCCTGGCACACAGTGGGTGCTCAGGAAAGCACAGGAGTTTACTTGATGAAAGAAAGGCACTTAAGGGGAGTGAGGATAACAATTAAACAATCCAGTCTTCCCAATCTTTTCCCCTAAAAACAAGTATGAGAAAGCAGAAAATGAAATGGGATCCAACGGGCCCCTCCACACGCACCAGAACCTTACCAGGCTGCCCCATGCTGTTCAGCCGCACCATGAGGTGTCTCTGGTTCGGGGTGTAGAGGTGGACGTCTGACAGCACGGTGTCACTTCTGAAGGTGACCTCGTCCATGGCTGGGGTGGGAGCCAGCTACCAAGGCCAGGGTTCCACATTCACCAGGGGCCAGCAGCACCTTCGAGGAAAGAACAGGTCCTCAGCACAGGAGGTCCCAAAGGGGAAGGGTATAAACGTATCCCAGCCAGGTGGTGAACAGCTTCGGGTCACTCCGGGAGAAAGTGCTTCCCTTTCAATTCTCTTTTACGTTTTTTTTTTTGGGAGACAACGTCTCAGAGCCTGGGCTGGGGACAAGAAACCAGCTAGAATTGCGTTGTTTTGTTTGCACTGTGTTCACTTTCATAGCGATCTCTCATTCATGGCAAGAGATCTGGATTTCCATTTATACAATAAAGTTCTTTCCCTCTAAATTTTTTCCAACTTTATTATTACAAATTTTTCAGATAAACAAGAAAGTCAGGGCAGAGCATAATAGACAACCATATACTCATTGCTTAGATTCAATGATCACCAACGTTTTAGCCTATGTGCTCACTCGATCTATCTGGGTTTTTTCCTCCCCTGAACTATCTGAGGGTACATTCTAGACATCACACTTCACCCCTAAATTCTTCTTCCCTAGAACATGCTCCTATGTAACCACAAGACCGTGAGTAAGCTAAGGTAACGAATGATTCCCTTGTGTCATCTAAAACCCAGTCCATAGTCACTTTTCTCCATGTGTCACCCAAATGTCTTTTACAGCCAGTTTTTCCCAAACCAGTATTCAATGATAATTTACGATTTGCATTTATTTTCTCTTTAATCTTTGTTATTCTAGAAGTTGAGCCCAGCTACCCCCATACCATTTGTTGTTTTAAAGCTTTCTTTTTAAATTGAAAAAAAAAGTGAGTGGATTCAAAGGAAAAGCAATTAGGGGAATCATTGTATGGGTGGTAGATGCAGAAAAATTATGAAGGTGACACAATAACTAAAATTTGGAAAAACCACGCCTAAGGCGAAGTGGTCAAAAACAGGCAGGCTCTCCCTCCAACCAAACATCCTGCCTCAGCAGCGAGCAGACAAGCCACGGGCCTTGATGCTGGGCAGAGTGAGGGTAAACCTCGGTTTCCCTCCTCGGTATGCGACCTTGGGAAAGTCACTTCACCTCTCTGGACCCGTTTCTTCAGCTATGTCCTCATCTCACAGGGTTACTGGGGGGGTGAAGTGCTGAGCCGAGTCTTTGCTCACAGCAGTTCTTAATAAATACCAGCAACTTCCTGGCCTGGGGTTGGTTTCAGGTGTTTGACATAAACCCGCCCATAAACCTGACCTCCCACAGGAAGCATTCCTACCTGGGTAGGTGTGCCTATTAGCTGTGTGCCCGAGGCATTTCGGGAAACCTCTCTGAGCCTCTGAACTTCTTCAACTGGAGAATGGGATCTTGCTATAGGGAAGCAAAAAGTTGTCCCAACACAAACATTTTTATGAAAAAGCGGACCCCTTATTAGTTTCCACGCTGGCATTCCTACCCGACACTATATAAGCCAGCACAAAGCACATGGGCTGCAAAGCGAGGCTGTGAATCCCGTGTATCAATGCAGGATTTCATGACGGTAAAGAAAGTGATGGAGGAGAAATGCTAAGCTCCCAGGCAAATGGCAACGAGGACTGGAAAAAATTAGACTAGACCCAGGAAGAGGCAGAGTTGGCGCTCCCAGAACTGAAATACATCCTGGGGAAAAATTGAGGACTTCTGCATATAATTTTGGAGGAAAAAAAATAGGATCCTCTGTGATGATGCTGACAGTTAAGCATGAACCAAAAGATGCTGTCCTTGCAAGAGCACAATTTTGTTGGGAAAATTACATCCCAGAAAATGAATGTTCTTTGCTCTTTCCAAAAATGAGCATAATATTACCAAATTTTCTTAAATATAGACAAAAAATAAACTCATATTCTTAATTTCTAGTTGAATTTTCAGTTTTAAAATTCCAACGACCCAGGCTGGCTAGGAAATGTATTCTGCAACTGAGATACCAGGTGAAGAAGATTTCCTTTAAGGGGATTTTCCCAGAACCAGATAACTGGGAATATGGAAGCATCTGCTACCTATCTCAGGGCCTGTGTGAGGATTAAATGAGACAAGGATCCCTTTTAGGGTTCTGGACGTGGTAAATGCTCAATAAATAATAGTAAGCATTGTCAATATAACAATAATAGTTACTAACATTAAAGGGTGTACTGGAAGATGGGAAAAGGCAATAATCAGTTTCTCTACTTAGGAATAGCTGACTCAGAGTCTCCATCTGGGAATGCGGGAGCTGGCTGAGCTTCAGGCCCCTCTCCTCACGGGGCAGAGCAGAGAAACGAGGCCTAGATGCGGATGAGACCCCCCCCCCCCCTCCTTCGGGCTGCAGGTTCATCCCGTAGCAGTTGCTGACAAGAGTCCTTGGCTCTTCCAAGGCTGTGGGGCCAGACCCAGACGCAGTCATCCTTCCTCCCTTACGGTTCCCCGGTCAGGGCTGCCCCCCCAAAAAGCAGTTTGCTGGGGTCAGGGGGTTGAAACACCTCCCCGCCGTCCAGTCTTTCTCTCTGACAGGTGTCACTCACTCACTCATTCAACAATCAGGAGCCGGGCGCCGATTCTATGACGGTTCACGGGCAGGCGCGGGATAACGGAAGGCAGGGGTGCAGACTGGGAAGTTGGAGGAACCGAGGCCCGGGGATGTGGGAAAAGACCTGGCCCTGGCCACGGCGCGCAGAGACGGGGTCAGGGGCTCCTGGGACCTCGTTCCCCCGGGGCTCCTCGTTCTGTCTTGCCGCCTCCCTGAACCCCACCCTTGTGGGTTAAGAATCGCCCTCTCAAAAGGCAGTCGCGGGGTGGGCATCCCTTTCTAATCCGGAAGCGGGGGGGTGGTGCTTGAACGCCAGGCAGAAAGCCAGATAAGGACATGGACTCCTTACCCCAACACCCTCGAACACCTTAGAAGGGGAAACTGGGGCTGAGAGTGGGGACTTGGCCTCAGGTCCGTGGGAGCCCGGACTTCAAAGCCAAGCTCGGTACCAGAACACCCCCTGCCTCCAACTCAGTCCCGCCGGCATTCCCAGAGACTTACCGGCCGCGGGGCGCAGCCTGCAGTCCCACGCGACACGCCCACCGCGGGGCTCAGGCGGCCGCCATGATAAGCAGCCTGCGCAGGCGTGGCCCCGCCCCCTCTACGTGCGTCCGCCCCTGTCGCCCGGTGGCCACGCCTACCTGTCTGGGTCGCGCATGCGTGACGGGGCCTCCAGCCGACAGGTGCAGACTTAGCCCTGTGCTCTGAGGAGGCAGGGCGGCGTGGGCGGCGTGGGCGGCGGCGGCAGGGGGAGGTGTAGTTCTCACGTGGCCGGTGTTGTTCTCACGTGCCTGGGGTTGCTGGGGTGGCCAGCCTGGGTGGGGCGGGGCTGCGCGTGGGGGGCTATCAGATAACTCGCCCGCGGTCACCCAGCTAATAGGAGGCGAGGCTTGGATCCGAACCCAGGTACCAGGGCTCCAGAACCTGTGCTGTTAACCAGCATGCCAGCTATTTATGAATTATTGTTAAGATCATCCTTGCTCTTAGTACTCATTATTAATAATAGCTGGTCGTTATTTCATTCATCCATCCACTCATCATGTAGCCAGCACCAGGCAAATGAAGAATGTCGGTCTTAATTTGAGTCTAAGGGGAGATGAAATCTGACACAAATGTTGCGCTCTAAGGAAACTTCCAAGCACGTAATGCCACAGGTGTCAAATATATGTGCGTGCGCACAAGCGCACACAGCGCCTCAGTTAGTACCCTTTGTCTTAACTATTTTTAAGTGGATTTCTCTTTCCAAGACCGAAGAGGGTCAACATCAGCTGCATGGTTTCTGGTGATAAAGCACGAGGGGTTGATAGGGTGACCAAGCAACATAAATAAGAAAAAACCCTTTTTTTAAAGAAATGGATTGTTTCCTTTTTTTAAGGAAATAGATTGTGTGACAGCCGGCTGGGCATCCTGGGACGCCATTCTGGTTCTCGTTCTCTCTTGTTCACTCAGGGCACTCTCTGTTGTCCGCAGGGAGTGTGTGACTGCTGGGAGGGCATCAAAGAAGGTGGTTTTCACACCCCTGAGGTTTTTGTATTCAAACTAGTAGAATAAAGCAGGCATGGGGCTGGCCCAGTGGCACAGTAGTTAAGTTTGCACATTCCGCTTTGATGGCCTGGGGTTCACCGGTTCAGATCCCGGGTGCCGACATGGCACCACTTGTCAAGCCATGCTGTGGCAGGCATCCCACATAAAGTAGAGGAAGATGGGCACAGACATTAGCTCAGGGCCAGTCTTCCTCAGTAAAAAGAGGGAGATTGGCGGCAGATGTTAGCTCAGGGCTAATCTTCCTCAAAAAAAAAAAAAGAAAAGAAAAGAAAGCAGGCAGAGAGATCCTTTAAAAACATAAGTCAGGTGGCAGCCCCGTGGCTGAGTGGTTGAAGTTCTATGTGCTCTGCTTCCATGGCTTGGGTTTGTGAGTTCGGATCCTGGGTGTGGACCTACTCGGCTCGTAGGTCATGCTGTGGAGGCATCTCGCATACAAAGTGGAGGAAGATTGGCACAGATGTTAGCTCAGGGCTAATCTTCCTCACCAAAAAATAAAAAATATATATATATATAAAAACAAAAGTCAGATCATGTCCTTCCTCTGTTCAAACCCTTTGAGGTTCCCCATCTGGGACAGAAAGAGAAGCCAGTGTTCTCACAGCCATTCCCTCCATACCTCATCCCCTTCTATCCCCACTCCAGCCCCGCTGATCAGCATGGACCCCTGCAAGTGCTTTGCACTGGCTGCTCCCGTTCGCTGGGGATGCTTCTCCTCTAGACACCCACCAGCCTTGTTCGCTCCCTCCTTCAGGCCTTCGCTGCAGCATCACCTGCTCACTGAGACCTTCCCTGCCCATCCTGTTTAATCGCAACCTCTCCCCTTGTTTTTCTCCAAGGCGCTTCTCACCTTTGGGCAGACTAGACCATATACCTATTTAAGTGCTTCTCTGTCTGCTCCAGGGGGCAGGGAGTTTTGTCTATTTTGTTTGCTCTTCTGTTCCCAGTGCCTAGACCCATGCCTGACACATAGGAGCTGCTCAACAAATTCAATTGGTTGAATGAATGAAGGGAGATAAGAGGGAAGTTTGCGGGGGCGGCGGGGGGTGGGTGGGCAGAGAGGGCGGACAAAAGCAGGCTGGATGTCGCTGGCCATCTCTGGGCTGCCTGAGTGTGTTAAGGAGCTGGACAGAGACTGGCTGGGGGCCTGGGCAGCTTGTCACTGTGATGTCAAGGTGATTCATGCCATCTCAGGCTTCGCATCATCCTCAGGGTCAAGTTCAAACTCTCCCTCTGGGCCCTGCTAACTTTTCTTTCCTGAGCCACAAACAAGATCCATTCTCTCCTTCTCCCATAGTCGTACATATTTTTGCTGGCCACATGCCTCCCCGCGATTCAAAACTGTTTCCTAGCCTCCCTTTGCAACTAGTAAGGTCAGGGGGTTAAACCAATGGGAGCAAGCCAATGGCATGTAAGGGGAAGTGTCACGGAGCAGCTCCTGGGTCCCTTCCCTAATGGGAAGCTGAGGAGTCCTTGGTTCCTACTACTTTGTCCCTTCCACCATTCATGAGGCCTGAATCGAGATCTGCCATGTGGGGCCATGAGGGCCTTCCCCTACGTTATGGCAGAACAGCAACACTACTTGAGGGTCACTTCCTCCAGGAAGCCGTTCCTGATTCCACCTCCTCCAGCTCATGTTGACCAGTCTCTGGGCTCTCCCAGTCCCCTCTGCTCTCCCCATCAGAGCACCTGTGTCTCTGGTTGTCACGACCTGTTTACCTGTCTCCCCCATCAGGTTTTGAGCGCCTTGGGGGCAGGAGCAGCTGCTGATTCATATCAGCAACCCGTGCTGGATTTCTCCATCCAAAAGGGGAAATAGAAAAATGCTTGCAAAGCACTTAGCATGGTCCTTGGCATGCTGTGAGCACTCAAGACATGGCAACTGTAGTTATAAGCTATTATTATTACTTATCCTAGTTCGGTCAGCTAGTAAACACCCCTGACATGCTGGGTGGGCCATGTGCAGACCCCTCTAGTCAACTGGTCCACCTGCATCCATTCTTCACCATCCCACGAGGCCCTGCAAATGTGAGCAGTGAAATGGCATTAATTTCCTAGGGCTGTTGTAGCAAATTACTGCAAACCGCGTGGCTTAAAATGACAACTCACTGTTTTCACCACCAGGACATCTTCCTCTTCCATTCTCCCCTCTTCATTTTGCAGAAGGCATCCACAAGGAGGAGGAAATGAAAACTCTCCAGAACTGTGCTGTCCAATAGGGTAGCCTCTAGCCACAGGTGGGCTTTCAGTTTACGTTTAATGAGTTAAAGTGAAATTAAATAAAAAATTCAAGTCCTCTGTCATCAAACCAGGCGCACTTCAAGGGCTTAGGAGCTCCCTGTGGCTGGTGTGGAACCTCTCCATCGTCTCAGAGAGCTCTGTGGGACAGTGGTGCTCTGGACCTGCTACAGTTTCTTGGGGTTTTTACTGAGCAGTCATTTGCAAATGTCCCTCCACCAAAGACAGCCACTGCATATTCTTCCTGTCCCCATTGCTCAAACAATGAGGATTGCCCAGAGGTCCAAGAAACTCACAAGATCTGTACACTGATGTATATCGATAAAGCCCCCGAAGGAACCCATTGGCCCATCTTGATCTCCTTTGCATACCCACCCATCCCCACTCTCTTTCAGGGGTGTGTGTTGGGGGTGTATTCATTGCCATGTGCGCTGCCATAGCAGAGTACACAAACTTGGTGGTGTAAAATAACATATTTATTCTCTTACTCTTCTGGAGGCTAGAAATCTGAAATCAACGTGTCGGCAAGGCTGTCTCCCTCTGAAGGCTCCAGGGGAGAATGCTTCCTGCCTCTTCCAGCTTCTGGTGGCCCCAGGTGTTCCTTGGCTTGTGGCTGCCTCACCCCAACCTCTGCCCCTGTCGTCACCTGGCCATCTTCCCTCTCTGTATATCTATGTCCAAATTTCCTCTTCTTGTAAGGACACCAGTCATTGGATTAGGACCCACCTAATCCAGTATGACCTCATCTTAACTTGATCACGTCTGCAAAGACCCTATTTCCAAGTCAGGCCATGTTCACAGGTACAGGGTTAGGACTCGAACATATCTTTTTGGGGGACGCAATTCGACTCACAATAGAAAGCATCTTGGAAGGGATGCTCCAGATTTAGCAATTCAGCCCCCAGCTGTGTGCGTCCCCCCTGCCTTCGGGTCCTCCCGGCTGAGGCTCCCAGACATGGTGGAGCAGAGACAAGCCAGGCTCACTGTGCTCTGCCTGAATTCCTGACCCACAGAGTCCATGAACATAACAGAAGGGTGATTGTTTATGCCACTAAATTTTGGGGTAGTTTACAACACAGCGGTAGATTATCAGATTAAGGGGGAAGGAAGCCAGCCCTTCTTTGCAGGCCTATAAAAGGGGGGGTGTAGGGAGAGGACCCTCTACATTCCTGAGTCTTGATTATATACAATCCACTCTGCTGGCCCAGCTGCCTTTAAGTTCCTTCATCCGCACAACCACCCCTGAGGCTCAGACAGGTGAGGTGTCTCACTCAGAGTCACCCAGCTACTGAGTGGCAGGGCTGGGATGCAGACTCAGGTCTCCGAAACGTCCGAGTGAGTCTGTCGGATGGAGCCTCAGCATGAAAGGCCCCTTTCCAGCACCCTGAGCACGTCTCTTCCTTTGAGAATCTCCCGCAGGCTTGGCGATACAAGGGTCAGGGTGCTAGCTCACCTACGCGGGAGTGTCCATTACCTCCGCCGCCTGGGCTAATGACAG